AAGCCCTTGGAGGCCATACCGCCGATCTGGGCAAGTCATACTTCACAAGCATCAACTTCATCGGCACTGTCGTGGCCACATGTCTTGCGCAAATCTCTGGGTAGGTTCTTGCATTAATCAATGGACGTGAAGGTACTAAAAGTTTCCAGTTACCTAGGATGGGTTCTTCCCGCAAACACATTGAGCCTCATCAACGCAGCGATCGGACCGTCACCCGACATCATCTGGGTCGGTATTTCCTGGACAGCTGGATTCGCCATCGGTTTCACACTTGTCGGTCGCCTGTCGGATATCTTCGGTCGTAGATGGTTCTTCATCTGCTCGTCAATACTCGGTCTCATTGGGAATATCATTGGTGCAAGTGCACAGAGCATCAATATGCTGATTGTATGTTCGACTGATTACAGCCTACGAATGAAACTGACTGTTCCAGGCAACAAACTCCATCAATGGTCTTGCCGCAGCTGGCCAACTTTCATTCCACATCATCCTTGGCGAACTTGTTCCAAACTCTTTGAGAGGTCCTGTGAATGCTTTCGTGCTGTCAACGTCAGTGCCATTCGCCGTCTTTGGTCCGCCAGTAGCACGATCGCTCTACCAGACTACCGAGCTGCAATGGAGGTGGTGCTATATCCTCGGATGCATTGTCAACGTACTGGCAATTGTTCTATACTTCTTCTTCTACTTCCCCCCAACATACGTAAGGAAGCCCACTTCAGCCAAGACAAACCCGACTAACAAACGCAGGAAATGCTTCACGTTGGCGGCAAATCAAAACTCAAACAACTCAAAACCCTTGACTGGATGGGGATCTTCTTGTTCTCAACTGGTCTCGTCGTCTTCCTCATTGGTATGAACTGGGGCGGCTCTGCATACCCATGGAAGAGCGGCCACGTACTGGGAGCACTGTTCGCTGGCTTTGCCACTCTGGTTGCTTTCTGTTTCTGGGAGGCCTACGCCCCAGGACTGGAATATCCCCTTATTCCTCTACGTCTGTTCAGGAACATCGAGTACGATGCCAACGTCGCCTGTGCTAGTCTGGCAGCCATTGTCTACTACGCAAACTCGATCATCTGGCCTACGATGGTCTCCTCGCTCTTTACCACAGACATCACCAAGATTGGATGGCTCTCGGTAAGTCTTCCAAAAATCATGCCATCCTGATAATCCTGTTCTAACAAACACAGTGCGCCGTTGGTGGAGGACTTCTCCTCGGCCAGATCCTCGGAGGCGCCGGAGTCCGCTACCTCCCACGCATGAAGATCCAAATGACTGTCGCAGCCGTCATAACCACCGCATTCGTCGCCGCAGTCGCCGCCTCGGACGAAACAACAGAACAACGCACAACCGCCTTGCTCCTAATCGGCACCATCGCCGCAGGCTACATCGAGAACCTCACTCTATCCAGCACAGCGTACCTCTGGGACCCCGCTGACATCGGTCTCGTCACTGGTGTCATGGGCGCTATCCGAACAGGTCTCTCTGCCATTGCTACGAGCATGTACTCTTCCATTCTCGCAACCGAGTCCGCAAAGTACATACCGCAAAAGGTCATGCCTGCTGCGCTTGCTGCTGGTCTCCCCGAAACGTCTCTTCCGGCGCTGTTCACTAGTATCACGGCTGGTGACTTCAGTGCTGTACCTGGTATCTCACCTGAGATTATTGCGGCAACAGGACAGGCTGTCAAGAGCGCGTATGCACTTTCTTTCCGCACAGTGTATCTCTGCACACTTCCGTTTGGCGTGTTGCTTATCGTTGCAGCGGTGCTGTCGCCGAATGTCGAGCAGTATCTTACGGATGAGGTGGCGAGGAAGATGCATGGTAGGGGGGATGAGAAGGGTGATCAGGCTGTTATGAAGGAGGTCGTTGATGCCTGAGTAGGCAGATCTTCGAGCTTCACAGGTAGCATGGATGTCAAGTTCTCAAAGAACTGAAATGAAATGAAATGAACTCTTTTCCTGCTAAGGCAGTCCACGAAGACTTTTATCCTCGTGATTCAATGTGCATGCCTTTGATATTTAGCGGTGTTGCACTGATCGCATACCTGGCGAAGTGGCTTTTCCTGCAGTCATCACGCCATACGTAGCACCATATTGACAGGACATATCAGTCCATACCATTTCTTCGTTGCTATAATCAAAAAGAAAGTCCAAGTCGCGCCCTATGATGCAGACCTAACGATTCATACACAACGCACCACTTCACCTCTTCTTGTTTCTCTTAGCCGCCCTCTTCTCACCCCGAACATCCTTCTTCAGCCTAGCATCCACCATCTTATACTTACCCTTGGTACCCTTGGGCCTAGTCTTGATACCCTTGTTACCACCCTTAGCCACAATAACACTAACCTTCTGCTTGGGCTTCTTCTTGGCAGCCCTCGACATCAAGCGTGCAATACTCTGTGCCTTTTCCTTCTCCGTCATACCCTCCTCGTCGGCGAGGAGCGCAGACTTCTTCTTCAGCTTCTCCATGCGCTGGGCGGCCTTGAACTTCTTGCGGGCTTGCGCTTCGCGGACCTTCTTGATGGGTCGTGCGTTCAAGGCGCGCAGTTTCTCTTTGATGGCTGAGGCTGCGGCGGCAGTGGTGGGCCGTTGGAGTTTGGAGTGCTTGTTTTCGTCGTCGAGGAACCAGTCTGGTAGGCCGTCGACGTCGCGGAGGGAGTAGCGGTTGAAGGATTCGTCGAGGAGGTCGTACTTTGTTTTCTGGCCTGTGGCCATTTGGTGAGCGAGGGTCATGGCTTCGGCGGTGATGATGTCGATGTCTGGCCTGCCGTTCTTCATGGGCATGCTGTCTTGCTCCCATTGATCTTCATCGCGCTTGACTTCTTCGATCTTGTCGTCATCATCTGAGGATTCCTCGTCGAATGCTGAGGGTGAGGCAGCCTTGGTAGCCGTTCTTATGCTCAGTTCCTTCTCGGTAGCTGGCGTGGGTGTGGCAGATTCGTCTTTCATCTCGGTGTCACCTTCAACATCGATACCACTGTCATCGTCTTCCTCTTCCAGATCCTCGAGCCCATCGATGCCCTTGAAGATGTCCTGGTCGAAGAACCGTGCTGCGCGCTTAGTGAGACCTGTCTTGGGCTGCTCTTCGTTGTCGAGGTCGGTGATAAGGTTCTTAGGGCCTTCCTCCTCGTCATCGCTCCAATCGCTGTCGGACTGTACAAGCTCTTCGTCGTCACTTTGTTCTTTGTCTTGATCAGAGAAACCATTGAACTCTTCGTCGTCGTCCTGTTTCCTTGCACGCTTTGCCCTGTACTTGGCGTCTCTTGCTGATCTCTGCTCGACGTATTCGCCGTACATGTTGTCAAGGTCTCGTTCAAGACGATCCTCTTCGTCGTCAGTTTCCGGTTCCTCCTCTTCTTCCTCTGGCTGTTCGCGTTCAATGACTTGCGCCATTCTACCCTTGGCGATCCTGTTCAGAGCACCGGCCTTGTCAACTGCCTTGAGGCCGAACATGGAATCCTCGCCAGTTGGTCCGGCCTGTTCCAGACCGATCTCAAAGGGTGTAGCCATGTTCATCTGTAGACGAGTAATCTCCTTTTGCTTCCGCTCGTTCTCAGCTCGGCGCTGCTTCTTTCTCGACTTTGAGTCCTTCTCCTTCAGTCGCTCCAACTCCTCTTGAATCTGCATCTCCTCGTCCATCGACTCAATCTCAGCGACTTCATCGCCTTCTTGCGCTTCTTTGGCCTTGGCTTCTTCTTGAGCCTTTGTCTTCTTGGTCGCGAAACCGAAGATCTCGCGCACCCTTAGACGCCAGCGCAGAAGGCGCTTAAAGTCAGCGCGACCCAAGACCTTTAGATCGGCACAGCAGTCCCTGATTTCCTTTGTGGTCTCCGGAAGCTTGTCGATGGTCGCGACAGCAATGTCGCCGTTAGGCTTCTGTTCGAAGCTGAGCTTGTTCAAGCCACCCAGCATAGCGATGGGATCGGTAGTTTGGATGAAGTCAGAGACAGGCACCTCTTTGAACTGTGTCCAGTCGCCCTCCTCGTAACCCTCACGCTTCCTCTTCTTGATTTCAGGCTTGAAAACCTTGGCTTCGTTGTTCGGGGTAGGGTCTGAGAGTTCGGCGAAGACACTGCGGGCGTCGAGGAACTTGGGATCGAGGTGCTTCGGGGCTTTGTAACCGCGGCAGACGACGAAGATTTCGGCGGAGACGTTTCGGGAGGACGGTGGCTTGGTTGCTTCGACCTTTGTGAATAGCTGGTTAAACACCCAGAGGAGTGAGTTGTAATCCTTGGATCTGAAAATCTTGGTGACGAAGGTTCCTCCTTCGACCAAGAACTCTGTAGCCAGCTTCATGGATTGTAGAACGAGCTCTGCTTGCGTGAAGGCATCCTGCACCCAGGCAGTTCCGACGTTGGGCGCACCATCGTGAAGGACAGTGTCGCACTTGAGGTGCTTAAGATGTTGGCGCAGCGTCGCTCGGCACTTGTCCGTGGTAATGTCGCTCTGGAAGGTGATGCATCGCGGGATGGGCTTGATTGGGGCGAGATCGACACCGACGATGAGGGAATGCGCGGGCATAACCTGGGGGTTTTAGCATGCAGGCGCATGGTGTATAGAATGGCGACATACCTCGGAAGCGACCTGACACCATGATCCGGGCGCAGCGCAAAGATCAATCAAGACTTTGCTCTTCTCGAGGAAGTTGTACTTCTTGTTCAGCTGGATCAACTTGAAGGCGGCACGCGCACGGTAGCCCTTCTCCTTGGCGAGCTTGTACCATTTGTCGAGACGACCTTTTCCATGCTTTTGGGGATTAGTCACTATCGCCAGTATTAATTCTGTACTTGCGCACCTTCTTCTGGATCGCCATTGCTGCGGTTTGGCGTCGTGGTACGGCGGGCAAAAGTTCGCGCTACAAAATTTGGGAAGCCCGGCAATATCGCTAGGCGGTGGCAGAATCCACGCTATCAGGGTACGCTAATCCGGGACTAGTGCACGGGATGGGCCCACATGCGTCATTGCTGGCTCAGCACGACGCGCCTGGTCCACCTCGGGATGAAGGTATGCTGCCAACTTCACGTGTCTTGCCCGTGCTGATGCTTGCTCCAGCGGTCGCATCGCCTTCTCAGCTCCTTCACCCTCCCTGCCGGAATGAACCCACGCAAGAAGTCCAAGCCAAACCCCGAGGCTCCCTCCGACGCATCCACCAAGGCCCCAGCAGTCCCACAGGATGCAAGTACGGCCGACACTACTCCCAGCAGTAGTGACATCCTGCCAGATGCACCTTCGGACCAGTCGGTAGCAGCGTCAACGTCTTCAGTTGGCGCCACAACACCGACCGCCTCCGGGGCACAGACACCGCGAGGCAAGAGGTGGCTTTCGGGCACGGGCAGTTGGCGCTCGAAAGCGCCTGCCATAGTCCAGACCGCGAAGGAAAGCATCGGAGTCAGTGGGGGCGCGACAGGCGAACTACCCGATGAGGAAGCGAAGAAGGCAAGAGACGAGTCGCCCAAGAAGTTCCTGACCAAGCGCAAGTCGAGCAAGGGCGATGCCATACCCGCCTCCATCACCCAGGTGAACGTATCCTCAGACGGCCTCCTCGACGAAGCTCCAAAGCCAAAGCCACCGCCACAAGACGTCGAAGAGACGCCAGCACCCCAAGTATCCGAGCCGCCATTACCCCCCGAACCGCCCAAATCACAAGTGGATGCAGCTGCTAGTGCATGGGGATGGAAATCTTGGTGGTCACGCCCCGACGGGTATGCAGACCCGGCCAAAGTCAAAAGCGAGGCACACTCAAGCGTTGACGAAGCTTCCACCACGCCACTTCCTGGACCGACACCTTCAGAAGAGCCAGATGCGCAAACGAAGGGCCTAGATGTCGGCACTATCCAACCCGACACCGACCAGGTCGCAGATGCAGACAGGAAGGATACGCCGAAAGAAGCGGCACCTCGTTCGGATACAGAGTCGAGGGCTATAGCATCTACAACTGCCAAAGTCCTGGCGAGAGCTGCATCTGGCTCTTGGTTTTGGACGTGGAGTAGTGCACAGAATGCGCAGGCGAATCCACCTTTAGTCGAGCCTCCCACTGAGAACAACGACCCAGCTAAAGTCGATACCGAACCGCAGACTCTCCCCGAAACACCTGCCGAGATCGAACCCACTGCGCCGCAAGAGACAACAGCACCCACCGCCCCGGATGCGCCTATCGAAACCCCTCAAAAGAGTACTACAGAACCCTCAAAACCCTCCGCATGGGCTTTTTGGTATAGGGGCAAGCCAGAAGACGAAAAGAAGCCAGGAGAGGCCGGACCGCAGAAACATGTCGGCGAGGTCGCAGTGTTCGATACCCCCTCACAATCGAATCCAGAGGCAGCGCAGTTCAACGAGCAAGAGCAGCCCAAAACAGACACCGAGACACCCAAAGAACCACAGCAGCCACCCAAAGGGGAACCTGTGACCAAGAAATCGTTTGCATCGTTACGAGGCAGACCGAAGACAAAGCCTCCCGCTAAAGACACGCCAGCAGATACCCCGACGTCAAGTAAGCCCGCTACGCCGACGAAGGCCTCACCAGTGCTCGAGCCCACAAAACCCGAGACGAAGCCCGACGCGAAACCCGAGACAGGAACTGCTGCTAAGCAAGCGCTCAAGCAGGCAGCGAAGGCCAAGCAAGGACCGGCGAACCTCCTGCTACCAGAGTTCAGGACCACCTACCAAATGGTCCAGCAACCAAACTTCTGGAAGCAAATCCGGCGATACTTCCTCGGAGGCGAGCCTGCGACCCCTCACCTACATATCAACCCGGCACCGCCGAAGATCAAGAAGGCTGTAGCGATTGGCGTACATGGCTTCTTCCCTGCGCCTATCATTCAGAAGGTGCTAGGGCAACCAACGGGTACATCAATTCGATTCGCGAATGCAGCGGCAGCAGCGATCAAAGACTGGACCGAAGCGCGGGGATACAGTCCAGAGATTGAGCAGATAGCATTAGAAGGAGAGGGCTTCATTGCTGAGCGCGTCAACTCTTTGTGGAAACTCTTGCTGAACTGGATCGATCACCTGAAGCAAGCCGACTTCATCTTGGTCGCCTGCCACTCGCAGGGTGTGCCGGTAGCTATGATGCTTGTCGCGAAGCTCATACAGTTTGGATGTGTCAACGCAACGAGAATCGGAGTATGCGCCATGGCCGGTGTCAACATGGGCCCATTCATCGAGTACAAGACGAAGTACTTTGGCCCTACGGCTGCCGAGTTGTTTGAGTTCTCCAACCCTAAAAGTCTTGTTAGTCAGATGTATCTCGCAGCTCTGGACGAAGTTCTTCGATTCGGTGTGCGGATACTGTACGTTGGTAGTATCGACGACCAGCTGGTCTCTCTTGAAGTAAGTAAACTCTCCTCGAAAAACTTCTTGTGCCCTACTAACACATGCCAGTCATCAACGTTCTCAACGCTATCGCATCCCTACATATACCGCGCCGTCTTCGTCGATGGCCGCATCCATGCGCCAGACTTCCTAACCCACCTCGTTGGCTTCGCCCTGAAGCTACGCAATCTGGGTCTCCCCGATCACGGCCTCATCCGCGAACTCTCACCCGCCCTTGCAGGCTCACTATATGGCGGCGAAGGCCACTCTCGCGTTTACGAAGACCCTGCCATCTATTCCCTAGCCGTCCAACACGCCCTCGAAACAACATCCCTACCGACACCAACAACGACTAAAGAGCGACCGAATACCGCGGGCAGTTTTCAGGGCATCAACATCCCCATCATTGGTGAGAAGCTCGCAAGTAACAGTAAAAAGGAGGACGTATTCAAACTTCGGGTGAATCACTACGAGCCGACTGCCACCACAACAAACCCAAACCCTTACTTCTTACCTTGGGCGATGAGAGGGTTGCTAGAAGAAGAGTTCGTCAAGAAAGAACTTGGAGATGAAGTGGAGAAGTTGCTGGGCATGTTTGAAGCGTGGAAGCCAACAGGGAAACAGCTCAAAGATGTGAAATTTAGACTTGAGGGAGTGCGAAGTAAGCTCTAAGCACCCGATCGAGACGGCAATGTTTAGTGTAACTGTATGAATATACGAGCGTTATCTGGTTTGGGTAGGCGTTCACGAGGCGCTCAATTTACGTGGCGGGAAGATACCATACAATGGGCGTAGAACACATAGCGTATTGAATTTATACGATTGATTTGCAGATATACACACATCTGGCCAAGACCTTCTTCCGCTTGCAAACGCACGGTGATCGTACCGCTAGGGACTCACGACGACAGATCTACGAATTCCTTCCTCTTAGTTGTCATCGTAGAAGATCTCCTTGTACCGATGTGTAGCATCTACAACAGCATTTGCGGCATTGAAGTCTGCTCTTACGTTAACATGAATTCTACTTGGTAAAGGAGGGCACATACCGATGTTTGTCCCAAAGTCCGTAGCAGCTTGTACCTTGACATGTAGATTCTGGTCTACTTTGCCAATGATCTCTACTGCGTGACCGACGGCGAGGTGTGAATCCTAGTTCGTTTTTGTTAGCTTTTGTGCATCATTTGGCTCTTCGTCCAAGATGCTTGAAAGGCATGAACACGTAGAAGGAACTACTTACCCTGTTCAGAATAACGTCAACGTTGCCTCCAGCATCAATGACTGCCGTCTCGCCGCGCAGTTGTACGACTTTGCCTAGCATGCGCACGATGCGGTGTTGGAAGTTTGATAGGTGTGGGGCGAGGATGCGGGGGGTTTGGGGGTGGTCCATTGTGAAGCTAGCTTTTTTTGAGTATCTTCCGCGGGGGAACTCTGTGAGCGCTTTATGTAGCGTTAATGTGGTATGCTTCTTCTGGGTGATTGTGTGTGGCGGGCGGAGATGGTGCTGCGTATTGTGGTGTAATGTGGTAGGGACGACAAGGTGGAGATGAAGGAAGGTTTGACGCGTCCGCGGCGTTAGCGTACCACGCTAGCACGTGAGGGCGCTTGAGCCCCTGTCTGTTTTTCGTCTGGCGGGGGACGAGATCTTTATACTCGAGCTTCTCAATCAGCGAAGGTCGTCGACCCTGAGATCCCCAAATACCAATGTATTTGCTGATTTAGACAGGTGACGCTGCCTTTTGCGCGCGGAGTCTGCACATTGCTGCCGTCGATTGCCGCTCACAACAACATAGCAATGCGTTGCCACAAATCGCGTCTCGTTTTCTTCGACCTCGGGACCCCCATCAAGTCACTCCTAATCTGGACTCAGCTTTGTGCATTCCTACATGTCCAGATTGGTTCGCATGTCCGATTCATCGAGGCATAGCTTCGGTTACTCTTGGGTAATGACCCAAAGCACCATCACGCCCATGGCCGTGGCGGTATTCAATGTGTTTTTGAGCTCAATCACCAGTTTCCTCTCCAGTTTGTACGTTCTAGGGACGAGTAAGTCCGAGGCTTCGAGGTGCTCGCGGATAGATACTGTGGTTCCCGGTGTTTCTGTCCGTCCACCTATCGAGCAGGCCTGACGGAAGGTTTGGAAAACGACCATGGTAAAACCAACTCCCTCTACACAAATCGCTAACAGCAGATTGCTTGCGCAAGCAGATTTTTCTCGCTTGTAAGTGTGCAGAGTGTCCGCCTGCTCATAAACAGCAAGCTATTACGATGACTAAATCATACCATATAACCCAGTCTTTCCAGGTATCATTCCAGTATTCGACATCACACTCTCCTCTTACGCATCAACCCCTGTATCATCGGCAGCGGTTTCATTCACAATGGCCTCCTCCACAGAAATGCCAGCGGACCACGACTGGCGCGACAGCACCCATGAGCTCTACTATCCCACCAGCAGTACTGCAGTTCCTGTGGTGACGACTGATTTGATCGGCCGACCCTGGAACTCTAAATCCTTCCTCGAAGAGGGGCAGGAACAGCTCAAGAAAGACAAGAAACTGGTCAAGAAGAACAAAACAGCCGCCAAATATCCTCTTCGCACCGAACTTCCAGCTCTGATCTCACCGCAAACGATCCTAACTAATCACTTCGAGATCACTACCGATGCGGCGGACCTCTACGAATATGAGATCCTTGATCTGGAGGGAGAAGGACGCACCAAGAAGAAAGTCCAAGCACTGTTCAAGAGAGCCCTGGAGGCCTGGACCCACCTCAACAATGACCAAGCCAACTTCGCTACCGACAATCAAAAGACGATTGTGTCTTGGGTGAATTTGCACCAAAACCTCACGACACCACCGCAAGTGCCCGGAGACGCAGCCAATGAGAACGCAGGCGCAGTATGGCCCAGCCAAAACATTACGACAGGAAACAATCCGGTCGCTGCCCGCTTGAAGTTCGTTGGCAAAGTACCCATTGGTAGACTACACAATCAGACTATGGCTACCCTAAGCGAGGTCCATACTGATCTGGCTGCTGTTGAACGATGCCTCAATATCATCATATCCAAGAGCTTCGATGCCGAAGTATACCGGCATTCCGTTGACAAGTTCTTCGTAAAGAAGGCTCGGAAAACCCTCTACCGCGAACAAAACAAGATCCAGTACCACTCGCAGTCGTTGGAAATCATGCGTGGCTACTACTACACTATCAAGCCGGGCATGGGATGTCTGCTGATGAACTTCAATGTTGCTACAAGCGCTTTCTTTCGTCCCGTCCTTGTCAGCGAGTTTCTGGCAGATAGCGAGACATTCCCCGACTTGGAAGAACGTATAGCGCTTTTGAGCAAACTCCGCGTCTACGTCGACCCGAAGCACAGCCAGCAGCGCTTGAACAATTTTGGTGCTCGCATCAAGTCTATCCACAGCATTGGTGACAACAACAACCCCGATGAGAAAATCGAGGACCTGAGTTTCGTCGAGAAGGTGAAGGGAACCGATGGTAAGCCATTAAAGGACCCGCAAGGCAATTTCATCTTCCGGACGATACCAACAAAAGTTACCGATCACATCAGAAGCAGTTTTGGTCTCACCGCGATGACGGGCCGCAAAGCCGTCAACGTAGGCACGGCTACCGACCCTGTCTGGTACGCGCAGGAGCATCTACGTATCGTACCCTACCAAATCTTCAGACGTCCTGTTCCTGAACATCTGACAAGCTCGATGGTCAATCAAGCTGCACTCAACCCCGGCGTCGCCCAGACTCTTATCGAACGCGAAGGCCTTGCCCATCTTGGCTTCAATGAAGTCAAGAATGAGAAGGTCGGCTTCAGGAACGGCGCACCGTTGTCGCTCTATCCTACTATGATGCGTGTGGAAGCTGGCAGGATGCCCTTTCCCTCTGTGACATACAAATGGAACCAACACCACAAGGAGAATAGCAAGAAGAGCCTCTCATTCAAGCAGTCTGTCTGGAATATTGAAGACGATCACCAGTTTCATGAGCCCAAAATCTCGGCCATGCGGTACTACGTTATCCACCAGCTTCAGAATCGGCATATCACACCAACGATCGCCAACTTCGAAACCGAGTTGCTCAACCAGCTGGGCCGGAAATGTGGATTGGCAAACACCCAAGTCGTTCGTGTCAATCCTGGAAACAATGCAGCTACTATCGGATCGGGAGAGAATCTACAGTCAAAAATGGCAGAAGCTGTCTCCTTGAAGGCTGATCTTGTCATACTCATGCTTTCGTATCCGGACCGACACGTGTACGCGCACTTCAAGAAGCTGGCGGACAAGCAATTCGGAATTCGCTCACTCTGCGTCGCCAAACCCTCGCACCTCGAAACTTTGGGCACCGACCAGATTACGAAATACATGTCGAACATCACACAGAAGATCAACATCAAGTTCGGTGGTATCAACGCATCGGTCGAGTACATTTCCGATGCACTAGGCAAGAACACTCTTGTTCTTGGCGCAGATGTAATCCATCCCGGCATTGGAGCATATGAGAACTCACCTTCCATTGCGTGTATTGTAGGATCGGTCGACCACGAAGCTGGCAGGTTCCTTGGCTCAGCTCGCCTACAGAGCAAGGACAAGACTGACCGCGAAGTAAGTTGCTGTATGGAAGATTTGACAAAGAAAGCACTAACAAGACTTCAGATCATCGACCACGTCCAAGAGATGGTGGAAGAAAGAATCAGGGCCTGGATGGTCGCCACAGGCAGTGCCGTGCCCCCACAGAACTTCATCTACTACCGTGATGGTGTTTCAAAAGGTTCTATCAATCATGCTTTTCTTATCCATCAGAGTACTGACTGTGTTCTAGGACAATACTCGCGTGTTATAAGCGTCGAGTTGGCAGCTATCGGACGGGCCGCAGAAGCAGTCCGAAAGCGGAGCAACACAATGACGATGGGCGGCGGCAAAGGTACCAAAATTACTGCCCTCGTGGGTGTCAAACGTCATCATACTCGCTTTTATCCTATCGATGCGAACAGCAAAGATGGCTACGGTAACAACAACTGCAACCCTGGTACCTACGTCGACCGTACAGTCACTTCGCCGTACTTCCGGGACTTCTATCTGCAGTCGCACAGTGGCATCAAAGGAACCGCACGACCCACGCACTACTTTGTTCTACGGGACGATGGGATAGCGTCGTGCACAAATACTGCCAATCTCCGCAAATTGGTAAGTTGCTTGCCCTATCTTGCCCTCCCAGGTTCTCGTTTCGTACTAACATCACATTTTATAGACTCATCACCTGTGCTACACCTATTGCCGAGCCACGACTGGTGTTTCATACGCCGCCCCAACGTACTATGCCGACCGTCTCTGCGACCGAGCACGTCTCTACCTCCTCGACACGTGGGCGGGCCGCGACGCCACCTTCCTTGGAACACTCAACACCGCTAAAGCGAATGAGCCTACCCGCCTGCAAACCGATCGCGACGCCAGGTATCGTGGAGGCCGGGCTTTTGATGCTGCAGCCGGAGATGTGAAGAGCAACGCAGAGATTGACGAGGAGAACGCCGTCCCTCAGGCTGTGAGAGCACACTTAAGGGCCTTAGTATTGGCACGCGCGCAAGCCGAATTTTACAGCGAAAAGCCAGCTGGAACGACGACGGGTAATCCTTGGCACGAGTCTCTCGACAAGGTCATGTTTTGGATGTGAGCACCGGCTCACAGAACGGCACGGTAAGTCGGTGGTGGATGTACCAGACTATCACGGTCTATTTTCTTCTTCCTTCCCTGTTTGATTGGATTTCCCTTCTTTCCTTTCGTCATCAAGTCATTCCCTCGGTACTAGACAAACACTGGGTAGGTATGCTACTTATCGGCTGGTGACGTCCATTGCAACGTCACGCTGCTACGTCACCTGCCCCCCTCCTCAATACCATCTTGTCGGTACTATTATGTTTGACTAGCGCTACCTTAGCGCCGATCTTCGTGCATATAAACTTCCTCTCCCGTCCTCAATCCTCTTCTTCTTCTCTCCATTCATGGTGGCGAACTTACGAGTTCGTCGACTCAAAATTCACGCAGTTGGAAGCAATGTCTGTTTTTGGCCTGAGTGTCCAAAATGGATGGGTTTGCAATGTATGATCGCTGTTTCTTCGTCTGGGGAGTCTAGATGCATGGAGTTTACCCGACTGTCTTTTTGTAGTGTCTGCGAGAGGTCTTCAACACATGTTTCTGGTAGTTTGAGTTTACATGAATCAAGAAGAAGATTGATTTGAGGCTATGAAAGCCGCTTGATCGAGTCTCTCGGGGTATTTGCAAACTTAAAGCACCTTTGGACGGCCTCGACCGAAGTCGTATGGCGGGAACAACATGGGTGGTTTATATGGCCTCGACGTTTTATAAGTTTGTCGATAACTGGTGAAGATGTTCTGAGTGTTGGGCGTGTTGCCATACTCAGCGCCACCACAGCCAGCATCGAAAAGTTTGTTGGCGATGGTATTGGTCCACTGACTGCATACGACCTCGTCCCACATCAAAGACCTTGTAGTATGAGATATAGGGTTGACGGTGACTGTCCAGGACTACCTATGCTTCAAGGATTTGTATTAGGAAAGATGTATCATTTTAGTCCTCTAGCTTCTTCAACAAGGCCTTCATCTTGGCCAAGAGATCCGGAATCCTGAACGGCTTTCCAACAACATCATCCATACCCGCTTCCTTTGCGTCATCCATCTGTCCCCCTCGAATGTTCGCGGTGACCGCAATGATTGGCACATGCTTCGTAATCTCTTTCCGTTCCTCCATCTCTCGTATCTTCCTGCAGCAGGTGAGGCCGTCCATCTCCGGCATCTCGCAGTCCATGAGAATGATGGTGAGTGGCATGCCATTAGCAACGCAGAATTTCGTTTTCGCGAGATGTTTCAATGCCCAGACGCCGTTATCGGCGGTATGCGTGACACAGCCAGTTTTTGTGAGCTGTTTCACGAGTACCTTTTGGTTGACGAGATTGTCTTCGACGACAAGAACGTGAAGTCGATCATCTTCCTCTTCGTCTTTCTTGTCGTCCGTGGGCCGGGGAATCTGTGCTTGTACCGGGGTCTCAACTTCCTTAGGCGTGGCAGCGGGCGCGGTGGAGTTCTGGTTCGCAGCTGCGGCGCTGATTTTGCGCGAAGATGCCGCGTGTTCGGCGTCTAGAGCGTGCTTCACTGTATCCGTTGAGATCGTAGGCTTTTTTGCAATCATGCGTTTGCATTTCAAGTAGAACCCGAAAGTACTGCCGACGCCAGCTTGTGACGAGACACCGATTTGACCGCCGTGAAGCTCGGCAAGTTGGCGCGAGATGAAGAGTCCGAGACCGCTACCGCCGTATTGCATATGCGTCCGTGGAGACTTCACATTGAAAGTTCTGTCAGCCTAAATCTTGGCAGTCATTCCGGGCTGGGATTTACTAACAGCTTGCGCAAACTTCTCAAATAGCAGCGATATCTGCTGAGGCGACAAACCGCATCCAGTGTCCTGGACATTGAACCGAAGATAGACGAACGAGCCTGAGCCCCAACCCTCGCCGTTTCCAAATTCGCTCACGATTTGTCTTGGCGGAACAACTAACGGCGGGCGCATAGAATTAGCGCTTCACCTTCAGGATGCTCGACCAATGCATCTACGTACATTGGAATCCTTCTGGTACGCCAAAGTCTGGCGAATCCGCATGAGCACAGACATGAACTGTGATTGAGCGAACTGGTGAGTCCATAGTGAACTTGATGGCATTGGTAATAAGGTTGACGATAATTTGAAGGAGTCGACTTGGATCAAGAATGACCCAGTCAATGTCGAGGTCCCGGATACTCTGATGCGGAACGAACTTGAAGTTGATGTTCTTGGCTTGTATTTCAGGACGGAACCTGTTAGGATCATGTCAGCCCAGCTTCCGTATATATTCGACTAGAGGCTACCAACATTGCCATGGACCGCTGTACAACGATGATAGGCTGCGCTGGCATTGGCGTGATGCGGAGAAGATTTGAGTCCAGCTTTGAGACCGTAAGAATATCGTCGACGATCGACTTTTGATGCTGAACACAAAGAGTGATGTTTTCAGCAGCCTCGATACAGTCCTGGGCCATCTTTCGATCGCCAGTGCATGAGAATTGATACTGCGTCAGAGTATCTTTGATATCGTCGGCACATATCAAGATCGCGGAAAGCGGGTCTAGATGTTGGTAAACGCGTCAGTAGACATTTCGAATGCAACCAGCATAGGGGGGATATCGCTACTTCTCATCTCGTGCGACGTGATGTCGATGAATTCGTTCTGTTGACGCTTTGCCTCTTCTGCCTCCCGTAGTCTTCGTTCTTGCAGACCCTGCGCCCACTTCAAATGCGAAATGTCCGTGAGCGAGCCCATGATGCTGATCAGCTCACCATCGGGGCTTAGCTCTGGCTGACTAGCAGAGAGGACCCAATATTCGATTAGTGAACCGTCGATATCTCGGGGCTGGAATGTCGAATTGGCGAATTGTAGCTCACGACTTGCTGGCTTATGGTGAGTTATCATATCTGGATGTTAAATTTCATGGTTAGCGCTTGAAACATGCAACTGGCATGGCAATATCGCGTACAGTTCCACATGTCTTGTGCCACTTGCCTGCTCTCACCCACCATCATCTCAATAGTCCAAGGTAGTTTGGTTCCTGCAGGTGAGACACCTGTCATCTCGTAGTATTTATCGTTCGCCTCCAATAAAAGTCCATCCGGATTGAATAGATACATGCCCATGGGCGATAGTTCGGTCATTCGGCGCATTCGTCCGGTCTGAAGTTGGAGCTGTCGAGACATCTGTTCTCTTTGTAGGGTAGCCATCTCCGCGACTTCTTTGCTTTGCCGCACTTCACCTTCGAAAAGCAGTACTGACGCCAACGACGTGGCGATCTGTCTATTGAGCATGGCGATGAAAGACCTGTACTCATGATCATAAGCCCTTCGTGGATTGATGCCTATTAGTAACAAGGCACACACGTTGTCTGCATTGGTTGGTCGTAGAGGTAGAACTATTGCCTCTCTACAAGGATCCTTGTAACCGCGCCATTCGATGATGTCTAACAGTGGCTGTGGAAGCGTATGGTCTTTGATGCTCAACATCCTGGGCTCCAGGGTCTGCGTAGCTGCTCGAAAAGCAGGTGTCAAGATACCATCGTAGTTCTTGAAGCTGAATTTGTCGGGAGACACTGCATGCCCTCTCGGCACGCCGATAGATCCTTCGAACACGCATGACTTGACAGACGTTGGCGTTGCATCTGAATGCGAGGAACCATTTTCAATGTCGTCTGCCTCGGTAACGGTATATAGAAGCGCAAAGGGTACGTCGTATTCGTTGTGATTCAGGCCTTCCAGCACTCTTATCCAGAATTCTTCTGAAATGTGGGTGCGCGGTTAGTGTCTGTCTCACATGAAGGATCGTCCATATTCACTTACTAACAGTACGTGTGGCGTTCATACGCTCCCCGAGGGATCGCAGTAACCACATTCTTCTACTGCTGATCGACTCAACCGTGGTATCAAAAGCATTGAGATAGACTACAGTTCGCATCTCAGTCAGCAGTTCCAGTATCTTTGGCTCAAGCCCACTGAGTTTCGCTGATAGGCGGTACGGCAACGTTTCGCAGTGTTACTCACACCCCAAGACCCGCTCTGTTCCACCAAAGACCGGAACCTGTCCATGTGTTAGATGTATTCATGGGGCCAAATTGAGGGCATCAATACTGACAAAAGACCAAGTAAAGAAAGACTCTTCCATGTAACCGTAACGCATGATGGGTAGCGGCTGGTTGTGGTTTAGCTGCGCATGGCCTGTCCGAGCACATTCGCGAATTACAGGACCAACCGCATGCCACATTTCACCGAAGGGGCCTGAGAAACCGGTTCCCATCAAAGCCGGATGTTTATCGCCCGTCACGTCGTCTCGATAGGCCTCATTGTAAAGCATGGTCAGGTCCTCGCCCCAAAAGACAGAAGACGGGTGAGGGTTGCGCATGACCAAACAGACGATCTCTCGGAACTGGATCGACCATCTGTTCATAGCTCCTAATGGTGTATTTGCCCAGTCGATGCCCCGTATAAACTGTAGATGATCCGAGAGAGCACCTCTGGGGTGCGGTACTGTCCAGTCAGGTACGGACGAGTCAGGCGTAGACAGAGTGATCGCTGAGATGCTCGACTTGCTATTCTTGTCACGGTCCTGGCCGAGGGAAACAAACGGGAACTTGGGTTGTTGCACATCTTCAATAATCTCCCGCGTCGGTATTGCCTCTGCGGAAGCTAAACGCTTCGCTGCGTCGGCAGTGAGATCGCTGTGTCCTTCTTTCTCGAGTCGCGGCGCTGATGCACACAGCGGATCCCCTTCGGGAACATCTTCATTCCGGAACAGCTTGTGTGCGCTAATCAGTCGCCAATTGGGACGGATCGAAACACCAAACCACAACAAGTTCTCGAACTCGATGGTAATCGGAAAGATGTCCCTGGAATCGTTGAATCTGCTGAGGATTGTCGCCCATATTCGAAACTCGTCATGCGTTGCACTACCATCCACCGAGTCGCGATCGGTTGGTGACGTGCCAATTACCTTCTCCAGTAGTTGGTGTTGCTCACGAAGTGCCGCATTGCAGAAAATGGGTCGTATCGGATTTCGACATCCCTTCGAATATTCGTCCATGTTGAGCATGAATGTGGGCCTGTCATCGAGATCCAATAGCTGCGGAAGGGTGCATGTGTTGAGGACGTCCAGAGCAGCATCTTGCCTTTGGGCCTGGTGTAAGACAGAAGGAGCTGTAGGCAGCGGTAACTGAAAGAACGAGCTACTCATTAGGGTCCAGATAGGAGATAGTGTCGGCCCTGCGCGATGATAAAACAAGGTACATTAGGAATAGGGAGGGCGTGCGTTCGGAGGGTCGATGTGCGACGTACAACGTGAAAGGTCGCGATGAGTCTGTGCCTTGGCCATAGAAGACGCGTTGGCGTAGTAGCTACGGTTCCTGTGGACGTGACTACCAAGACTGCGACAATCAGAGTATGATTGGCAGGTACATCATGACGCAGACGGTTGCAGACATTACTATGTCGCCGATACATCGCATGCTGCTTAAAAGTATTACTTCCCCGTCGCACCTAGGCGAGCTCTTCCGCGAGCTGATTAATGGCTTCTCCAAGCCGGCAGGCATCATTTAGATGTCTGGGTGGCATTGCGACAGGCTTCTTCAACGTGGAAAAAAAGGGACATCAATCGCATGCGCGTGATAGAAACTCATGGGGCGAGCACGGTGTCGTCCAAAAGATGGGACGCTGAAGTAGATGTCGCGTCCACGGGTGCGTCCCGGGACGGCTGTGAATCACGCTACCACATGCAACATGCCTGGTTTAAAATGACGTCACGCGTTCTTAGCACCAACACGGGATGTTCTCCGCATCGCAGAACGAGCAGATTGCTGTGTTGCACGATCCAACATCAATCCTCTCTGATGTCTTGGTTGATGATTCTTGTGCGCTGGATCTGCGTCTTTGAATGGAGGGCAGAAGCTACTACTATTTCTCGATCCAAGACTTCCAAGGTTTGATGGAGGTCAAGGCCGTTCGACTTCCGAGGTCCCGAGGCCCTTCTCACTGCAGGCATGGAATAATCCATACAACTGACCATACAGACACCTTCAAATAAACTCTTGTTGTGACATCTTTAGTATACACACCCAGACGAGCCGAGGGAACTCAGTGCCAGCCCACGGCTTCTTCGACTCCGAGCAGCTCGTCAAATCAGTCACTATGGAACGCACAGAAGTGAGGGGGAAAGAAAAAAGGTAAGAAAGTCGAGACCAGATGCTTGGATTTGTAGCGGGGTAGTTGTGATAGTATGCGGTTCAGTAAGTTTCGAGATGTTGACGCAGTAGTAGTGGTGCTACTAGCCACAGATCAGCTGGGACTAGAAGTCTTGGGAACGAACAGTAAATTTGTTCCTGTTTAGAACGCTAGCATACGCCTGAAATATACTCCCAGTGATTGAGAATCGGAAGGAGAGATTGTGCGGGCTGGAAAAGAAGAAGTACGGGGATAACTTCCGCAGGGCGGACCGGGTGTTTGGGCCGCGCTTTGATGTGCGGAGTGTGGGCCCACGGACATTTTATCAACGTCAAAAACACCCATCTGACGGACAGAATCCCTCGTCTCTGAGAAGAATTGCATGTGTATGTCTCCACAGCGCGCAAACCTCATCGCCGATATCTTGGCGGGCTGCTAAGCCGAGGTCGAGCGAGGTCAGGTTAAGAGACTGTCCAGGCGGTTATCCAGGTGTGCTGGCAAGACTCGGCCAATCGCATCTTCACAACCCAGTCCGTCTATTTGGCTGTGGACGCAACTCCTCTTCTCTCCGCGCACTCTTCACCGGCCGATGTTCATGCATTCCTTGCTCAACCACCATCACTACAATGCATCTCTAACACGTGCAGAAGGTTCGTTCGCGTGGATCGAATGCCGAATGCGCCAGAGCCATGCGTCAATCCGAGCCCAAGCGGAAAGTGGGTTCACGATGTCAGTGGCGCTCAACTGCCGCATTCAATAGTCTTCGAACCGGATCTAGTAAAGCAGCTCTTGATTTACTCAGGGGAGAGATCATGATCACAGCCCGTCCCGTACGCTAATGACTTACGTAGTGCATGATCTACAAGGCCTATGCAGATCGATATATACCAAGATGCGCTTCCGCGACTGTTCCACCTGGTCGGCGACGCTAAAGCGGTGACAATGTAAACATTTCGTGGTAGACTGCGATGCAACGTTTGGGCAGGATGACGATCTTGAGCTTCACGACTCGTGGTGTAAGAATGGTTAAAGAAGGGTCGTATGCTTGCTTATCTTGATCGACCAGGGCCCTGCATCTCCTCATCTTTTGGTCGTGCTTGCTTCTTGTACCAAGGTCCAGCAATTGTCAACATGCGTCTCTCCATCCAATCGCTAGCTCTTCTGAGCGTTCTCCCTGCGTCGCTCGCAGCTCCCGCACCATCTCCAGCTGCGGCACCTGCACCGGCCGTCGACGCAGTCCAGGGTCTGGATGAACGTCAACTGCTCAGTAAACTCACATCTGGTTTGACCTCCCTCGTTGGTGGCCTTCTCGGCCAATGCGACCAAGCAGTCAAGGACGGCGATGCCCCAAAGGTGCTCGACATCCTCCAGCAACTTCAGCCTACTTCGCGACCAACGAACATCGAAGAGGCAGTCGCAAGGCACTCCCAAATCTGGGCGAGCCCGACCACGCGAACGGACTTTTTCGCCGCAGTAGCGACCCAGATAGCCGGTGGCCTTGTCCTTGACGACACGCTAAAGGCCGCTTTCACCGGCGGTCTGCCCTTCGGCGAGAACAGCATCAACAACAACAACCCAGCCACCGTCGGTATCTATCCCAAGAAGGATGCTGCCGATGCACCATACACACTCTCCGAGTCTGCGCTCCGAAAAGCACTTTTCATCCCACCTAGCTTCACCTACGGCGAGAAGCGCCCAGTGATCTTTGTACCCGGAACTGGTGCTTATGGAGGCACAAACTTCGCCAACAACCTCAGGAAGTTGTTGAATGGCAAGAGTTATGCTGACCCTGTATGGCTCAACATCCCCGGCGCTATGCTTGCGGACGCGCAAACCAACTCGGAATACATTGCCTACGCCATCAACTACATCAGTGCCGTCTCACGCACAAACAAGGAGAACATCGCCGTCATATCTTGGTCCCAGGGTGGTCTGGATACACAGTGGGTGTTGAAGTACTGGCCATCAACCCGCAAGGTTGTCAAAGACTTCCTTCCCGTATCTCCAGACTTCAAGGGCACTGTCATCGCGAACGCGATCTGCTTGACACCGAACAGCGACATCGCGCTCCTTCCCTGCGACCCCTCTGTTATCCAGCAAGAGGCTACCTCCGATTACATTGCATCGCTCAGGCGTGATGGAGGCGACAGCGCATACGTACCCACTACGACCTTTTACTCCGGCCTCTTTGATGAGGTTGTGGAGCCTCAACAAGGCACTATCGCATCCGCGTTCATCAATGACGCGCGCAATGTTGGTGTCTCCAACAACGAGGTACAGAAGGTGTGCTTTGGACAGCTAGGCGGCTCCCTCTATGGCCATGCCGGCGTTCTGTTCAACCCTCTGACTTACGCGCTTATCGTTGATGCGCTTACGCACGATGGACCGGGTAATGTAGATCGCATTGATGTCAAGAGCGTTTGCAGTACCTACGCCGCTCAGGGTCTCGACCTTGACGATGTATTGGCTACTGAAGGGCTCATTCCTGTGGCTGGTGTACTGCTGTTGACGTACCCACAAAAGATGTACGCTGAGCCTGAGTTGAGGGCTTATGCTAGATAGATGCGGCTCACAGATAGTCACGTTCAATATCACAGTCCCTAATATATCTTGTAATTTGCTTCATCAACCTTGTTAAGCTATACTTTACGTGGAAGCGTGGAAGCTTGCCTAGGCCAACAACCTTGCAGTATGAACTTGCACATAACAGCCCAGAAACGTACTACCTTCAAACCAAGCATTACCTAAGCTCCAATCAAGTAATAAAGTGATTCAGGGAACAAAAATCAGTATCCTAACAGCCAGTTCAGCTCACGTGCTGTTCCAGCTTGTCTCACTTCTTCTCCTTCTTCTTCCTCCCTCGCTTGCTGGCCGGTGCAGATTTTGTTGGTGGGTTATAGGACGGTTGAGGGAACGAACTCGTAATGTTCGAATAGCCTGGATGATGCGCGAAGACTGGCATACCCGATGGAGTCGCATGCACACCCGGATGAGTCGGATAGCCCGGTGCCGGAACGGTTATCGCTTGTTGACCTGGTGGCTTCACTATGTTACCATCGGGCCCTACTACTCCCACCGCAGTGACGTCTTCTTTAGCGACACCATGGTCAAGGAGGAACTGATCCATCGCCGTGAGCGCAGTAGGGTTCTTGGCCTTTATAGCCCTGTTAATCTCCATAATCTTCGCTACCTTCTCTGCTTTCGGGAGACTCTTGAAAGCAGGCATGCTAGCTGCGAGCTGAGCTGTGTCGGTCCAGTCCGGTGTGGTAGTAGTTGCGGAGGCTTTGGGAACGGACTTGGAGATACCAGAAGGTCTAGTGAGAGTCGGGAGGCCAGACTGAGTAGTTGGACGACGGTTGGAGGTATTTCTGGACTGCGCGGGCTGCGATCGAGTTGCAATAGGGAAGCTGTGTTGCTTGATTTTGAGCTCTGGTACCGTAGGCGCCTGGCGTGGCTGGAGGTATTGCGGCTGTGCTAAAGATGAATAGCCCGTGGGCTGGTAAGAACCCAGTTGTGGGGATTACTGCTGGATGGACTGAGCCGGTGTATACATCTGCGCCGTAGGAGTCGGTGCAGGGGTTGGAAGCTGGGATGGCCCCATACTCCGCTGCTGTCCGACCTGTTGTAAGTAGTCCGGAACATAATGCTGCTGAAGAGCCGGACGCGGTGCGTACGGCAATCCTGGGCCGTTCACAGTGTCGTCGACCTGTCTCTGCCAAATTGGCGACATCATTGCGTGTTGACGACCTTGTAGAGAACCTTGAGAGCCGGGTGACGGGTGTTGTAGTCCAATTCCTTGCTGCTGATTGGGAAGCTGACCCTGTCTTCTTGCCCAGAATGCCTCGATCTCTTGGTTTCGACGTTGATAGTGTTGCAACTCAGGAATAGTCAAGGTTCCTGAGAGCCCAGGTTCAGTGAAGTCGCCCGGGTTTGCGTAGAGCAAACGAGGGTCGATATCGTGGTTCGTGGGTGTTCTTGCCGTCATCGCGAAAGTTGAAGCTCCTGGTTGATTGTCCACAGATGAAGAGGAATAGTTTGGCACTGATGTGCATGTAAGTATCCACAATTAAGCAAAGAGTTCGCTGCAAAAGAGTCTACGGCCCAGGTAGCAGTTGAAATTTGGACAGCGTAGAGGCATTGAGGGTGTATATATGACATTACCGAGATGAAGGAGCGGAAGTGTGAACAGTGTGGGTTGGATGTAGGGCTTAAATGGTGTGAAGAGCGTTGTGCTTATGACGGTGTGATAGCAGATCTGGTGAAAGCGCGTACATACCTCTCGCATTTTCGGGCGCAATCTGCATGAGGCGTACACTTTCGTACTTCTTCCATGCTTCACTGGGCTGCGCATTGCGATGCAGCAGCTCGTAGGGTCCCTTTAGCTGCGCCCGCCGGATGAGAAACCTCGCCAGAGGCTGCAGGTTATCCGTGAGTCCATTAAGCTCGGCTGGGAGGCCTTGGTGTCTACGTTCGATCGCGAAGAACACGCGCTCAAAAAAGAGATCGTCGCCATCGATAGAGGATTTCTGAAATGGATCAGCACCCCGACGGCGGTCAAAGTGAACAAATGAGGGGACTTACGGGCTGGAAGCTAGAGGTCTCGAACGCTCGCTGGACGTACGGCTCTATGTCGAGATCGTCACGCAACAAGTGCTTGAAGGCGTAGCGCAGGTAGGGTGTGAGGGTCTGCGCAACCCATTGCAGATAAACGGGGAGTATCGGAGCGCTCATTCTGGCGTTCCTGTGGCTGGGACAAAATTCGTTGCGCGGTCGGTGAGGGGAAATGTTGAAAGCGGCGACGAGGATTTAAGAAAGTGAAATCGCAGTATGCGAGACAATTCATCGAATTCACCACGACAAAGCTGCGACAAGGATCGAACAAAGTGAAAAAGGGCAGAGTATATGAGACAATTTCCCAGCTTCACCACGAGAACCAGGGACAGGAATTGATGGTGCAAAATAGCTTACTGAGTTCATTCCGACTTCACCACGACTTCCGTAGACCTGAAGCGGGTGAACTTCGCTCTATAGCATGTGGGAATTCGAGAAGAATGACAATGACGATTGTCTTCGTCTACAAGCCGCATCCCGCGCGAGAATAGTGTCAACCATGGTAAGCAATTCATAAAGACGAAGCAGTCGTTGTCCTCGAGGTATTGCCTGAGACTATTCGAAGTAGTCTCGTAACCAGGTAGAGCGCAGCGGAGGCTCAGCGGAAAGATAAAATTGGGGAATAGCTTGTACAAGCATCGCATGCAGCAAAAAAATGCAGCGCTGCGTCTCTAGCAGAAGCTATCGAGTGTCTGAGTCGTCTTAAGTTATTCGAGATGATGATGGTTGAAGATTGTCAAGCGCAGTCGCGTCCCATACGGGTAGGGGCGCGTCAGGGGCGCGACTAACAAAAGCGGGGCGATGACGCACTCCCTATCATCCGCCTGACGACAAATTCGCACTTCCAAGGTTCATCAACACTCATTGACATTTTCAGTACGAATCTTTCGGGCCAAACATCTGGCTTATACTAGTCGTATCTCGCAGCCTTGTGTGCTGACGGGTTGTCTCAGACCCCACGGCGAAGCCAAGGCACCAACACGGCGCAGCGCAACTCGGGCGCATAATACGCACATATACACGTCCTTCTTCTTGGCTACCGTCGATCGCATCCAACGAGTACCTATCCACTGCGTAAGCTTTCAGAATGGGCAGATCAACAATGCCATATGGGGAAGAACATCATGTGGCTGCATGGCTACTTTTCCTCTCCCGAGGTCGACAAGAGAGAGCCACATCAGCACAGCTATGCTCAAAGACTCGGCTACCTGTGTCTTGGCCCTTTGTTGTCAGACCGGGTCATTCGTAGGATTATCGTTACTCTGACCTAGCGGCGAGGAGAGACAATGGATGACGGCGTGGGGCGTAGTCGACTTTCACTTTTTTTAGCCAGCCACTGACAGGAAGACGCGACACTCCACCGGCCACGCCATGTTTCTTGACCATTCCATGAGGATAAGTTGAGAAGGAAATCGATATTTGGCCACAGTTTGGGTCCTGCACGAAGGCAAGAAATATGCTTCATTGGTACCAGCTATGCAAGGAGGGAAAGTTGAGTGAGACTACCAGTGTATAGTTATGTACGCGAATATTTACTCTCCGCTGCGGTTTCACTCCAAGTTCACTTGGCCATTCCGCCACAATCTCGTTTCCCATAAAGTGACGACTCTGACTTCCTCGACTCTTCTAAGCATCTCCCAAACAACCACCGAGTACACCAATTTACTTCCTCTCGAAACACCAAGTCAAGATGAAGTTCGCCCTCTTCATCAGTACCTTGCTCTACACTGTCACTGTTCTAGCCGCTCCTGGAGCTGTACGTCTCTCCATACCTTCAGCCTAGAGACTTCGTTGACACAATCCTACCAGGTCTCCCTCAACCGCTCCTTCAAGACCATCGCAGTCCGCGACAACGATAACGTCGAGGGTACTGTGCAAGTTGCCTGTATCGAGTGTCCATGTGGAGTAAGTCTCCTCATCGTCGGCCTTTTCCTCTGCAAGGGCGGCGCATGGAGTATTATCAAGATTCACTGACGGCGCCTCCAGGGCTTTACTGGCGCTTGTGAATGCGTCTCGGGGGGATGCTGCTGTGATGATAACGGCCATGTCGAGGTGCCTGAGGGTGGCTGGAAGGCTTAGACAACGGCCGTGGTCAGCGCCCTCGCAATCGTTGTCCGGTCTTTGGTCTGGCTGTCATCTCTTTTCACGATGGCCTCAGGCAGTATACCGCCTTGAATATGTTGGTGGGTACTGCTGTTTGCATCACTCCCTTGTTACGAGACGAGTGGACAACGAAGTTTGAAAACATCTTCTTGATTGAGTCGCAGGCATTGTCACTGCCTAGTCATATAGTTTGAGACATATATCCATGATCCTTAAATCCTGTCGTTTGCCGTGAAGTGGTGCATCCATCCCTTATATATCCACATACTTGCACCCCAGAAGACTTCACTCAGGGTGCGTCCATTCCGGTCTTGTAGTGACAAAGTAGCCCTCAAGAACGAGGCCAAGTGCAGTTCTTCTGGAGACAGCAGCCGTTGACGACACATGTGCAGCCACCGTAGAAACCCTAGACGCATGTTCATCAGCCAGGTACAGTATTGTTCGTTCTGCGATAGCTAGCAGAGGAGATAACCTACGTTGCATGGACACTCGACACAGGCCGTGAGAGTATCGGCGACTGTGGCACCGCCGCCATCAACGCCAGTGTCGGCCTCGATGAAGGAGCGCTTGAGGGAGATCTTTGGGAAGTGACTGTCAGTAATAGTCTCAAACAGGATGATGGTACATGGGGATTAGAACTTACAGCTCCAGGGGCGGCCATGGTTGTTCCGAAGAGGAGAGTGGCGATGATGGTGGTAGCCTTCATGTCTGCGACTTGGTGCTTGGTTGCTGGATGTAATGGAGATTGCGGTACTGAGTATGATGGAAAGTCTGAAGCAGTTGATGATTGTGAGCGAAAGCAAGGTGTGGATCTTCAGCAAGGAGAAGAAACGGGGGATTATATGCTGTGTGCGACTGCTTCCCCAGAATGCGGGTAGCTAGCGTAGAAACTTCATACAGCAAGCACGCCCGCGTTGAGCCTGTTGAGCCTGTTGAGCTTGGACTTTTCAGTCTTCTAGACCGCTAAGGGCTGTTATCCTCACCCGGTAGGAGATAAATGTGCTCACGGCAGGAGGCGACTATGCGATTGCGCCTTCCAGACTGCGTCGGCCTGCCACGCATCCCGAGGTCGCTCCTGAAAAGGCCGGCCTGGAGCTGGAGCTTTAGTCTCCATCGTGACAGGTCTATAAATCCCCACTGGAGGAGCCACTTCAAGGATGCTCTAAGAGTTCCTGTAATTTCCAAGCTCTTACTGAGTCCTTCCAATCGTGCCTGCTCTGGCAATGTAAAGTAGTTCAAAATGTGTCTTGAGCTGATCCTAAAGTCATTCTCCTTAACTTCGGCTAAGAAGATTACGAGACTGATACAGCAACGAAGTAGGTAATGTAGTCGACCAGCGCGACTTCGCGTAGATACCATTCGCGAGACGAACTCAACCTAATTCAAGACAAAAGAAATGATTTCTACAAATGAGACAACATGGAGAGCGATGTTACTCGACGAGAGCCCGATTTTTTACAGCATGTTCAAGAAGGCAAACAAATAAAGGAGGTGCTGGAGCAAGTAAGTCCGATTGGGTGGCTTGTCAGCTTTGGATAGGGATTGGTATGGAGATGAAGAAACTGTCAGTCGATTGAATCTTTGAGGGACGAAGGATAACGCCGTTGTGTTTTTTGTTCGCTGCGGGGTCAAGTCGAATAGAAAGTAAAGAGAGTGGAGTGGTGGTTGCGACTAACTGCCCAGGTGCCAGCACGTGCCGCGTGCGCGAAGACAGCCGTCCGGGGTCGTTTCGTGACCACCTGGGCAAACTTCGCGCTCTCGTTGCCTACTATCAGATATCTGTGCATGCCCATGTCCCATGGACTCGTCAAGCGGCGTGTCTTCCTCATGCAGCAAAAACGTCTGAACGGTCTAGCCTCTGCGCTGCAGGGCCCCACACCTGATAGCTTCACGTCGACGTCATCATGCCGAAACCGCGACGCGCAACGCCCTCTTCAACAGGCTGTCGCGGCCAGCGAGGACGATATACCACCTCCAATATGAGGCTGTGATCCCTACGACACTAAATTCTAGCCTCTGCTAATATTAGATGCCTCTCTGGACCAAGTCGTCGAACTCCGCGCTGCCCGCATTCCAGCGATCACCCAGTCACCTCTCGAGAGTTGCGCGCATCGCTTGTGGCAGACACATCGCAAACATGTCGACTGACACAAAGCAGCAAAAGAGCGCCAAGTTTGGCCATCTGCCTCTATCCACATCTGGGCCACAGGAAACCAGCCTGACTGTACGGCATGCACACACTCGAGTAGCGATGGGGCTAACACACTGTGTAGGGCAATGCACTTCTACGAACACCCTACTTCAACAAGGGCTCGGCCTTCACCAAAGAAGAGCGCGATGTCTTCAAGCTTCATGGGCTCCTTCCCACCAACGTCCAGACCCTCGACGAGCAGGTCAAGCGCGCATACGCCCAGTACTGCTCCCGACCGAGCGACCTCGCCAAGAACACCTTCATGACGAGTCTGAAGGAGCAGAACGAAGTATTATACTACAGGGTATGCGACGGTTGATGGTGTCGGTCATGGCATGGCATGGCTGACGGCTGCAGCTCATCCTCGACCACCTCAAGGAGATGTTTTCGGTCATCTATACCCCCACTGAGGGCGAGGCCATTGCCGACTATTCCAAGATCTTCCGGCGACCTGAAGGTTGCTTCCTCAACATCGACGATGCAGACCGCGTCGAGGACGATATCAAGCAATGGGGAAATCCCGACGATATCGATGTGATAGTCGTGAGCGACGGGCAACAGATACTCGGCATTGGCGATCAGGGTGTAGGAGCCATCCTCATCAGCATAGCGAAGCTCGTCATCTACACTCTGTGCGCAGGTATACATCCTTCGCGAACACTCCCTGTGGTCCTTGACTGCGGCACCGATGTCAGTAGAGAGACCCCAATCAGATGCGCATTGCTAACGAGAGTAGAACAGAGACCTTCTCAACGACGAGCTTTATCTTGGCATGCGAAAAGAGCGAGTATACGGCGAGCGATACGATGACTTCGTCGACAAGTTCGTAAAGGCTGCGAGAAAACACTACCCCAAAGCCTACATCCACTTCGAGGATTTCGGATTGAACAACGCGCGAAGGATTCTGGACAAATACACACCTGAGATCGCATGTTTCAATGACGACGTACAAGGCACCGGCTGCGTAACGCTTGCAGCCATCATGGCAGCTTTCAAAGTGAGCGGAACCAAATGGGAAGATGCTCGCTTTGTCATGTTTGGCTCGGGATCAGCAGGCACGGGAATTGCAGACCAGATCCAAGATGCCATCGTCCAGAACACCGGAAAGTCGAAGGAAGAAGCTGGACGCCAAATTTGGTATGCTTCTTTAATCACTCGATCGACGAGCCCACGCTGACCCCAGTATAGGTGCGTCGACAAGCCTGGTCTGCTTTTACAAGGCAAGAAGGATCAGCTCACTCCGGCCCAACTTCCGTTTGCGCGAGAGGACAAGGAGTGGGAGGGCAAAGAACATGGCGATCTTCTGTCCGTCATCAAGGAGGTGAAGCCACACGTTCTCATCGGTACCTCGACCAAGCCAGGTTCGTTCTCAGAAGACGTCGTTCGAGAGATGGCGAAGCACGTCGAGCGCCCTGTCATATTCCCACTATCGAACCCAACCAAACTCCATGAGGCCAAGCCGCAGGATCTATTCGACTGGACCGATGGCAAAGCGCTGGTGGCAACCGGTTCGCCATTTCCACCGGTCAAGCACAATGGCAATGAATACGATATCTGTGAGTCTACAATTTTCGTTCCGTAATGATGTTGCTGACCGCTCCAAGCTGAATGTAACAACTCGGTAACGTTCCCTGGCATCGGCCTCGGTGCTGTCCTCTCCCGAACCCGCCTTATGACTCCCGCTCTCCTCGTCGCAGCTGTACAAGCCCTTGCCTCGGAGGCTCCTGTTCTGAACAACCGCGGAGCCGGTCTCTTACCAGACGTCGAAGACGTGCGAGAAATTAGCGTCCAGATTGCGAAGAGTGTGATCAAGAAGGCTGTGGAGGATAATCTGGCCCAAGAGAAGGATATACCAAGTGGCGATGCAGATCTAGAGGAGTGGATCAGAGAGCAGATGTGGGATGCAAAATATCGTCCGTTGAAGTTGGTCGAACACAGCAATGCGACTGCACATGCGAGAGGAGAAGCAGGCACAGCGAGTGGGCAAAGAGAAGCAAAGCACTAATGGTAGAGGGACATACATTGCCTGACTCTGTGTCACCAATCTGATGTATCTTCTCGCCCAGTGGTCCTCTCTTTCTCATTCAATCATGACATCGAAACAAGTACTGTACTTGTTCGCACCATCAAAATTCCACACCCATACCATCATATGCCGACCCTTCTCCATACACTCTGGCCTATACCAGAACGTTAGCAGGGAACTCCTCCGATCACATCTGTCCCCGCTCCTAACAAAACAGCACCAACGAAAAGAAGATGGACTTACAAATGTACCGTTTGCCAATTTCCCTTATCTTGCAGCGCCGGCGGCGCCGTAATCTTCAAGTCCGCCGGATACGCAAAGCTCTCTTCACTAAACCCATTATCCTGCACAAGATTTTCTTTTGTTAATTCCTTCACATCCACAATCTCCTTCTCCTTGCTGCCAGCCCAGTAAACAGAAACGCGCCCCGGATCGCCCTTCTCCACGCCGCCGAAATTACCTCGGCTGTGCCCGTTGCCGCCGAACATGAGTGTTATGGGGGAACCGGCTGCGGCTGTTGCCATGGGAGCGGGAGCGGTATGGTAGGGTGGTTTACTACCAGGCTCTTGCGGAATCGTAGGAGTTAGGTATTGGGCTGGTGCACGTTGGCGGGGGTGGCAGGCGTGCGTGTCGCCCTTCGATGCCTGGGCAGGGAGATCCCATAGGTCTGGATGTTGTTAGTGAGGCTTTTAACGGGAGAAGGTCGGGGGGGTATACGCACATTCTATGCCTTCATCCATCCAATTGCCTGGATTCTGCTTTGCGCGCGGCCAGCCGTGGCATAGGTATGCGTTATATGGCATGCTATGGGAGGTTTAGCTATCCTGCAGTCTCTGTTTGTATGTGTGATTGAATGATCAGTACTTACAGTGGATCTACAGGTCTGTCTGGTGTTTTTAGTGCAGCGGCTGCCATGTCGGCTTTTATACCGGTGTTGTTGTGATTGGTGCAGTGCAGCCATGAGTGTGCTGAGGCTGTGGTGGACAGCTTTAATGCTGTTGCTAGAGTGATTAACTTCATGCTTCTTAGAGATATGTGGTATTCGGCGAAATAGGTGATATCGAAACGACACACTGAGCTACATAGATATGTTACTCGAGGTTTGGAATGTGTGGCAATGAAGTTCCGCTTTGTAGCGAAGACTTATTGAATCCTAGTGTTGTGTTCGTGAATACGGTATTGACGCGGACGTAGGTGATTGTACAGGTCATGACTGCGGTATTGACAAAACGCGCATGGCCATTGTCAGGCATGAAATTGATCAAAGGAAATACATCACAATAGCATTGTACGTGGAGTTACATGGGTACATAGTAACATTGAAGGAAATGACATGGAGAAAAGATATGACAGAGACGTGCTATGCGAACACTCAATATACGCTTGCAGCACATTGAAGCGTGGAGAGTGAGTAATCCAAAGGACAATCATTAATCGCATGATCCGCCCATTGACGCCAAACATTGAACGACAGCAACCCCTGTCATACCTTCATAACATGATCCTCCTAATCTTACAATTCTCTCTTCCTGCTCCAGGCCTCGGTTCCTTTAAAACTGCACTGTGTTCACATCTTCATACGCCAACCTTGTGTCCTTCACGCCGCCAGCGGCCATCACAGTCTGTTTCCCCAGCGACAGCAATGTCTTCCCAACGATCCTCTTCACAATAAACCAAGTAATAGAGCTTAGCCCCACAGTCCAGTCTTTGTAGAAGCGCAAAACGTGTATAACGTAAATGTGCACGAAGTTGTCATTGGCCTCTTGGCCAGACATAGCTTCGTATGCAGCCTGCGCAATGCGCATCATGATACGAGAAGTAATCTGGAAGCACAAAGTCTCAAGTACGAACGCACCCCATCTCTTCAATAGCCTGGGTCCAGTGTCTTCCAACGCCTCGCGGAATGTGCGTTGGGGTTGGTATGCAGACTCGCGGTACGTGGTGTGTAAGCATTGTCTTCTTCTACGTCCAGAGTCTGTCGCACTTGGGAACCATGTTGATGGCAAGAAGAGGGTTAATCCGGGGAAGGTGATGTTGATTGGGCCTATCGTTGCTGGAGCTTTTTGCTGGGCAATAGGCTCGCCGGGGACAATTGAGAAGATGGATGAGCGACGGTAAAGACCTTCCTCTGAATCACTCTCGTACGAAGTAGAGCGGAGTGTAGATTTCTCTGGTGTGAGCATCATGTGCACGTAGGGGATCGCAAAGGTGAGTGCGAGGAGGAAGGGTAGGCGAACGGTGGTTTCGAAAAGGAAAAGGGTAACGATGATGGCTACTAGGATGTGGAGCTGATGATGGTTAGCAAAGTGACCTCAGATGTTCTGATTGCGTGAATGCTTCTTACCGAATACGATTTGATGGATTGAAGCAGAGGTTGTTGGCTGTCTCCTAACGTGCTCTCCAATTGTGACATTGAGTTTGCAGATCCGCTCTCATGTTTCCAAGCGTATGTTGTACTCGCAGTACTCTGACTCGATGCGTCGTCGTTCTCGTAGTAACACGATCGATCTAAGAAGGGTAGATCCTGAGAATGGCTGATGCTTCCTCGTCTTTGCGGCCTGGAGTGCACTTGGCTGGGTGCGTAATTATGCGATTGTAACGGCATGTTTCTAGATTCGTCGCAGACGTCGTGCTATACTTCAGCGGATTAGAAAAGTTGTTTTAGCTGTGTGTAGCCTGGAGTGGGTGTGCTTGTGATGTTTGTAGTGGAGCAGAAAGCGGACAAAGAATTGCACTCAACGTCCCGATATGAAAGGCCGCATACGACAATGCAGACTTACGACAATGGCTGAAAGAAGTACTCCTCATGATCTAGAAAGATACATGCATGGATGGGTTGTTCAATGGTGAGTTTGTTGAATGTGTGCACATGGGATGACAATCGGAGAGCAGTTACGACTGCGAAAATCGGACCTGGGGTTGCAAGAATTGACGACAATGACCAGTTTGGGTATATAAGAGGATGTACAAAAGTGGTCGAGAAAACGCTATCATCGCGGTCGCTCGTAAAGTCCGTCGCCGTTCGCCATTACCGTGCTACCGTACACAATCCCGTCGTTACACGCTTTCCCGCGCCTCGGTCTCCCATATCAGAAACTTTACATTATGCTCATAATCCTCATTGTTGTAGTAGTGACCACCGATAGCGTGATCTAACAACTCCCTCGCGAAGTAGTCGTCTTGTCGTCTTATGAATTTGCAGAACTCCGCGTACTCCCTCCCCAGTACGAATTGAACAAAGCATTCATTCATGACGAATTTGGTGGCATGCGCAATGTCTTCGATGTCTCTCATAGATGGGCTGACGACTTGAGATAAGAAGGACGAGATCGCTGCAGTCGTTGCGGAGCCGCTCAGGGATGCAAGATAGGCGAAGACAGTCGTTATGCCACGCTCTCCGAACGACGATCGTATCCGGTCTTCGCGGTCTTGGCTCGTTCGGATCTCAGCCAGTACTATCAGAGTCCTGCTCCCCAGGCGTTCCACATCGATGTGATATGAGCCCTTTTTCTTGCAATCCGGACCGTTCCGCGCATGTGCGTTCACCCCCGCATCGTGAAAGTCGATTTTGAGGGCCGGGGTTGCGTTATTCGCTATCAGGTGCCGGTTGAGGTAAGCCACAAAGTGGTTGCGCAGGCTGTGCGTGGCCGTGGGGACTTTTTCGGATAGCACGGCAACTGCGAAGTCGTCTGTAGGGTTCGAGATGGTGGGAATGAAGGCTCGAGCTAGGTCCGTGCCCAAGCGATGCGCTAGTCGGTCGTCGCCAAATACATATTTCTGGTAGTCCTTGATGGAAAACGGAAATGCTGTCTCGTCGCGGCCGACGATGTTGTGCAGCGAGAAGACATCCTGAACCATTGAGACTCGAGGGATGCGAGACCCTAAAAGATGAAATTTCGTGGGTCAAAGAGAGTGCGCGAGCATTTTGAGGTCCGCTGGCCGTGTAGTTAGCGGCGACCACCGTCTGGATTTCGACCTGCCAAGAATGGGGCTGTGTAAATGTCACTCTTCTCGAAACCGCCCGTCGTTGACTAAAATGCCGCACAACACGTCATATGCTAGCCTCTCCGATGGACTTGGATTTATGGTAGGTTGAAGCTCCATGGTGATATCCGGATCATTGCAGATCAATGCTGCCGACTGTGCGACGAGGGGCGAGTGCCGCGTGTCGCTCTTGCCCTTTCACATGTCACCCACTGAAAACTGTCTACAAGGCTGACAGTGCAGTGTGCGCGGTGGGAGCGAAGGCGACTGCCATCAAAAAGCGGTGTCTCCGAGCGCTAGATGACAGTGAGAAGTTTGGAAGCGCCGTCGGAACAGGAACCGCCAGACAGAATAGGTTAACAGGTGCGGAATGATTGTTGCGAAGAAGACGACAGAAGATGGCGGATAGAACGTCCCGTATAGTAGAGCATGTGCCATGTTGGACATATGCCACGGCAAGCTACAACCCAACAAGCAAGTGCGTGAAAGCTTATTCAAAAAGCACGATGCTTGGCAAATGCTTCACATGTGTCCGCTCCACCCGTGGAACTCGAGGGCGTTGTCAATGTCAGTTGCCGATTGCCCAATGGCACTACTAGGATTGCTGAACGGAGCAACGCGCACCGAAATCCGCTAGTGGGGTGCTTTCGTCTTCCCAAGACATGTCTGCGAGCTCCTCGGGACTAATGTCCAAGGAAACCATCGCCAACCACTTCACCCAGTTCCACGTAACGCAATGGAAGATTCAGCATGGTTAAATCCCAGGCATCCCCTGAAACTCGGCCGTGATTGGTCTTAGGGTCTATGGGGTCAGACTTGTCGAGAGATATAGCGTTGCCGGAGTTGGGGTAGTCTGTGCGAAAATGGCTCATCGACTGTGCAGCAAAGTCACGCTCACCGTCGAGAATTTTTGAACGGAAGCACGATGGATGATGCTACGAACATGTTTAATCTGTACTCTCAAGAGGTGGTAATGCCGAATGAAGGGCGCTTCGTGCTGGTGGCACGTAGGTAAGGTAAAGCAGCGTGCTACGCTTCTCCCCACGTGTGGGGCGTGGGATGCGAGTATATAGGCGAGGCGCCTCGTGCACCACATCTACGAATTCAGGATCATGTAGACGGGACCCAACCTTGGACTTGGACCGATCATGTGCGCTCCTCACCGTTCAGATAAACACTGGACGCCTAAGCATCTAGCCCCTTACCTATGCTGCGAACTACCAGCTTATATTGTCCATGCAGCGACATACAGGGGCGCTCGCTTGCGATGTGGGTGATGGTTATGGCTTGTCGAGAGACAACGATCGCACTCGGCTATACGGCAGATGGCAGCATACACGCTGCTGCTGCATTGGTTAGGCAGCTACTGCGCAAGGGTACTGGGTAGTTGAAGAAGTCGTATCACGACCGCAATCACTGAGAGTGTCAGCAACACGCGAGTGGTGTGACTTCCATCCCAAACGCGCGATGTCGGCAGCAATGTCGAATATCAGTGGCACCACCAGCTTTACGAGTTTGAAAGGCGCAATCGCATTCCAGACATGCATTAGATGAAGGCTGCGGATACTGACTGCAGAGGCAACTGGCGCGTGGACGGCGCATTTGACATGAGCCTACTGAGTCAGCCTGTTGGTGACGGAGCGGAATCACGAATCGCTTTTTGCCAAGCTTCGGAAGTTGCCTTTGGAGCTTCCGACACGCGTCATCTTGTGCTACCAACACTAACGCGCGCGGCGCGGACACATCACGCGTCAGCTCGGCTCGGCCCATCGCATGTCGTGACGATTGAACGGGTATTATTTCTAGTCTCCTATCTACT